ATCAGTGAAGTAAAAATTGGAGCCTTAATATTTACATCTATGGGCAGAAAGAGTATGTAAAGTTGCTGGAGAAAGACTGGAGAAAGGTGCGTTGAGGTAGGTCTGTATAATACTTGTCAGATGATGGATCTGTTTCTTAATATGCCCTAATATCCAAAGGATCGATATGAGACCTATGAACTGAGAGATTATTTTATATGCTCTATGCATCATGGATGTCATGCTTAATATTATCTTTCTAATTTAATATTCTGTTTCCATATTCCATGTTTTTGCTGTGCTTTAAGAAAAAACACTTTGTGTCTGTGTGCATACATACGTACCTATTTATCTATGCATTTAGAAAACACGGACAGTTCTTTTTGAGCTATTAAAAATGGGATAAATTATGAATAGATAATGCTATTTAGCATTGAACTAATTCCGATTCTCCAAAAATGTAGCCAGTAAACTACCTTGGCCTCTTTTTGAGATGTACTCACTGCTGTAGCTTTTTAAAAATAAATAAAAAGGAGAAAAGGTTCCACTGGGATGCCATTTTAAACATATTTTACATTTAAACAAACGACGAAGCTGAGCTTACTAAAAACAAGCAAACATAAATTGCACTCAAGACTGGAAAATGTTTACCTTGAAATTGCAAACCATCAACATTGTTAAACTACTTCTGAAAGGGGGGGGGGGAGGACAGGATTTTTTACTCATGAGCTTAGCTGAGTGAGTCATCTGTGAAACATTTTGCCTGTTTAAATCTTTAGATGCCCTTTCTCATGCTATGTGGAAGAGTTTTATAAGAAGTGTCAAATCAAACAACATAGTCAATCACATACAACGACCAGGTATGGTCACTGACAATTCCTGATTTTCAGATCGACTGAGTGGCAGGTTAGAAAACTGTCTGCTTACTGCCATTTTCTTCTTGTCACAAGGAGTGTGAATTCTGTCATTCCTCCGTGCAGTACAATGGAAAAGAGTGACACTCTGTGTGTGTGTGTTTGCGTGTGGTGGCAGGATATTTTTCAGGACAAAATCTCCCATCCATTTTTATCCAAAATGCCTTGTTCTGCTGACATTAAAGTGAGTCGGGGAAAAATAGGATGCTCTGAAGTATCCTTTTATGTATCTGTCTTGTGTATATTTTGTGTACATGAAGAAGCAAAACCATGAGAGGATGGGCCTCCAGCCAGGAAATTGAAATGGGGAAAACATTCTTCCCATACAATCAAACATTCCCAAAGAAGTGCGGTGCAATACCAAACAAGTTGTTAAATAATGAGGAGAGATTTCTTTCTTGCTTCTCCCTCCCCTTTCCCTGCCGCCCCTTCTCCCTGCCTGTGGGTTTTTGCTGGAGGCGCCGAGAGGCAGAGCATTTGAACAGCACAGGCCTTATGTTCTGCCGACTTGGACTTGTCAATGGTAATTGGGCAGCTTTAATTGCAAAAACACGTTTGTGGCGCTGAAAGGGAGTTTAGCGTAAATCCTTCCTTTCCAGGACTGGTGTCAAAAAGTTTTTTTGAAAGGAGATGAGGTTGTATCAGCTATCCAGACTGAATAAGCGGCGAGATGGCGCGATTCAGCTTACATGTTTTGGCTGTCCATCAGGACAAGGATCATTCATTGTAGCTGTTCAAAGCCTCGGAGAACAACGGATGGGAACTCTTATATACTAGTCTTTTTTGTTCCACTGTTTGAATGTGTCCTGAATTTGTGTTTCCCCCCCTCTACTTTTCAGACAGACTAAGGAGTACTTAAGTACCCTTTTTATATTCTAGAGTATTTACCAGCTAATAATATAATGAGGCGTGAAACAATATTACTGGGAAATGACAAAAAAAGTTTGCAGCTGAATGTTATGCTAAAACTAATGCTAAAACTAAAACTCTTCCATAAATTTTCTGTTTGTGACCATTGGTAAATGTTATTTCATGGTAATATTTTGGGAGTTAGCGCATTACTATAGAGTGTCTTACAAGGAGGCTTGTTTACTAAAATGCACTAAAATAATGAAACACTGCCATTATAAGATGATACCAGGGTAGGGATGCAGCGGTTGAGTAGTCATTTTTGTTTGAATCCATCCAGGTTTTTAGGCCGTTGGGAGGTATAGTGTGCTTGCATTTGCTTTCTGATGGCTTGCATTTTTTTTATTGCCTTTTGTGGTGTTGGTCTGAATGTGCATGAGAATTGTTCTTTATTTTGCCAAATTCTGTGTATACGCTTTTGTTATTATTTTCTTCATTTTTCCAAGTTCCATTAAAAATTGCTTGCTTAGCAACAATGAAAAAGCTTCCAAAGACGGGTCAATTGTGATGAACTTCACAGCTCAGCCCTTTTGGGGAGAGGGTTCTTCAAGTTTATTTCTGAGAAGAAATTTGGGGGCCATGCATGGGGGCCACAAACTAACGTGAGAAATTTGTTTATTTGAAGGACCATAATTCTGCCCAAAATTATACATGGGTAAGTCTTACTAAGATCATTTCAACTTAGGTACCCATAGTTTACAGACAGCATGTAGACATTACATACATTTTACTGAAAAAAAGTGGAATTTGCTGCCACATAAAGATTGGGATCAATAAAGCTACTTTGGGTGTACTCAGAAGAATGTTTAAATTTCGCTCCCTTCACACATGAATCAGGAGGCATTATGTGATTACCAAAGAGTGAGACCACATTGCTGACTCTGCCCCTTGCCATCCACACATCTATTTATTTCATTTTTATTTTTTCATTGAATTTGTATGCCACTTTTTAGGGCAGTTCACAACATATTCATACATTCACATGGACTATCTACAGCAGGGATGGGCAATATGTGGTCCTCCAGATATTGCTGGATTGTAAATTTCATTATACCTGACCATTGGTCATTTTGGCTGTGGCTAGTGGGATTTGTAGTACAATACCCAGAGGTCACATGCTTCTGAACTGCTCTCCCCATACACCTTGAGGTGCCAGGCGAAAACAATCTTCTTCAACCAGGCCTTGGGCTGATTGACATCCAGTGTTGTTGGAGGGGGGGATTATTGGTTTGTTGTTGTTCTTATTTTTACTATGTTTTCTGTGGTTTTTGCATTTTAATTTTATGTTGTGAACTGCCCTGTGGGTGAAGGGCGTTATACAGATTTAATAAAATGAATGAATGAATGAGCAGCTACTGGAGAATAGGCTTCTTCACTGAAGTTATGGAAATGATGGGTGGCTAAGCAGCGTGGACCCAAATCCAGGAGTCACAGGATGTCCTCTTCTGGCGTCACCTCAATGCTGCCCCCCAACCCCACTGAATTTCAAAGTTTTTGAACCTCCCCTTCCAATATGGTTTGCAAAAAAACATTCAAAAGATTCCTTGATACCTAGTTCTTTGAATCGTGGCTATTGCATTTAGGATTGTGGTGTCGGACTAAATTTATAAACTTCATTACTATTTCAGAGTAGCAGGATACAATATTACAGCCATATTCAGTCCAAGTTTATGGCAAGGTGCGTCTGCACTGGACTTCCCCCAACCTTGAGGCCTTCCCTCTTCATTGCAGGTGGCTTTGAAAATATTCTCAAGTTTCAAAAGCTGCTTTGTAATATGTCATGGCGGCAGGGAGGGGCGAAAGCAAAAGGTCAGGCAAAAGCCCCTTTGCACATGTGCAAATAGAATGCTTGGGAGCATTGAATGAAATGTCAGGAGTGAAACGGAAGTGCGGATTGCGTGAAGGGATCTCTTTAGCTGCTTTCCACCTAATTCAGCTTAATTTCTTTGTATATTTCAGTAAAGCATCTCAATGGCTTTCTGGAAATACAGATAGGTTTTTCTGGATCAAAATTTGCTTTTCTTCAGTAAGCAAACTGTAATCGATAATTGCACAGTGTTAGTAATTTTGCAGAACTACTGTAAAAATAAATGAAATCCAAAACTTTTAAAACTGATTTGATCTTCCAAATGTATTTTTATATATGTGCTAGAAAAATAATTTAGAATGTGAACTTGAAAGAACTCTTGAATGTAGTGTTTTTATTTTATTTAATTCTAATTTGCATTTGAAAAGTCTGCCTCGGTGCACTTATTTATTTAAACATGTATGAAAACACTTCAGTATTATCAAGAGGGTGTGATATACGACATGAGGTTTCAAAATAAGAATTGCACTATTTCACAGATAAATTTTAATTCCGAAAAGGCTTGAATAAAGTGTTTAGCAAGCTTGAACAGTGTGTAGTAGCAGCCTCTTATACAAAATAGGACATGGAAATTTGTTCTGTTACGTCAAAGAAGAAATGAAATACTTTACTTGTCAAATGGTAGGTTTATGGTTTCAGACATATTTAATTTTAGACCAACACAATTCTGCTCCATAACACTCAATTTAAAAAGACTAGGAAAAATGTCTTGCTGAGATTACAGATAAACGTCCAGCCATTGTTTTGTCTTTCAAAATGCTCAGACGCAGCAAACTGAAAAACACCTTACAATCCTCTCTTTCCCCCTCACTTCACTAAGCACACCACAGGCAACTGATTTCTTGTAAAATGTAAGGTTATATTTTTAATATACTACTTGTTGCTTGTAACCTCCTCCCTTTTTCTTTTAATGCCTTGCTGGCTGTTCAGCTCTTAAAAGTCTGAAATAAATTTTCGTGGCCTTTGGTAATTAGCAGTGCTTTGTAAAACAATGAAAGCAAGGGAAGGCATAGGAATGGAACGGTTAATTAAGCTGCACTTTAAAAAAAATGCCTTATACATAGTTTTATGATATAATTTAATGGACACCAAATATTGATTAGAGGCACTTGTCATTTTCATGTAAGTAACCCAGAAGTTTCCCTTTGACTCTGACGTAGTTCTTTGCTCTGGAAGAGCTAGCAGTTCAAATGAAATTCCAGTCAGCTGGTGTTAACTTTATGCAGAACTAAAAAACACAAAACCACCTAGACACCTGGCCACCCTGACACTTAAAAAAAAAAAAAAGGTGGGGAGTGATGCTTATGCGAAAAAATTGGAATGAGGTATTCAGTCCTGTGTGGAACTGCCTATTTTGACACCTATGGGGGGGTGAGAGATATATATATATATATCTCACCCCCCCATAGGTGTCAAAATAGGCAGTTCAGGTGTCAAAATATAAAAAAAATAGACTTCAGACAGTTCATTTATTTATGCTTATTTTTTTATCCATAGCTGAGGTGTGTGGTGGTGAAAGAAATATTATCATTATAAATTATTACTGGTAGTAGTAGTAGTAGTAGCAGCATTTAATATAACTTATATCTGAATACATAAGGGCGTAGTTTGATACAAGTAGGTCTTCGCTACCCCCACAAAACTGATCAACATTCCTCAGTAGTCAGTGATGACTCGCAATATTCCTAAAACAGGACTGTCAAGCTAATCCATCACTGTGAAGGGAAATCTAGACATTTCTAGAACTTCTGTGTTTTGGATAAGTGGGGGTACAATGATTGGTTCTTATTGCTGTCAGGGGAACGTCACTGACCTTTGATTAATCAAGGGTCAGAAAATCTAGGATGCGCTCTACCGAAATTCATTCTTTGAAGGAGTGTGGCGTAAAAAGTTTAATAATCGTCTGTCAAGCACTGTTAATTGCTGCTAATTATATTTTCAACTCTGTAGCTCCTGTTTCAGAATTTAATTTGGATGGAAGGGGGAAATGGCACTAATTATTTTACACAGATTTGGACAATGTCAAGGAATTCAGTCACGGCTGAATCCTCTTGATTTTGTTTTCTACATAGGTGTCTGATGCCAACAAGTCAGAGAGATAGGGAGAACCTTGAAGGACACTAGTAAGACAAAACAGCTGAGCTGCTTGGAGGGAGGATGGGGATATAAATGTATAGGATGCACAATGCTTAATGCGTAGGGTTGAGACTTTTAAAACTGTGTGTTATCTTCAACCCCCACCCTCTTTTCCTTGTCTAGCTCAGGGTGTATAGTGTGGGCATGTTTGACACAGTTGCAATGACCTTGTCTGTCTTAATTTTTGCAAGAATTATGCCTTATCAGTAGTTGAGTATTGACAGTCTATTGTCAATGCTCGCAACACAACCAAGTACAAGTGTATATGGATATTGGGGACTTTCCTTTCAGTGCAACTTTCCTTTGAGTTCAAAAAGAGGGTGGTGCTAAAATAAGATTCTAACTGTGCTTTTTACTGGCTCAGAGACGCAAGGTCTCGTCCAATTGTTGCCCCCATTGTTTTGGCTCTCCCCCCCCCACCATAAAGTTGTGTGTGATACTTCTCCCTCGTCTTCATCTCCGTGAGTCTTTCAAATACAGTGGTGCCTCGCAAGACGAAATTAATTCGTTCTGCGAGTTTTTTCGTCTTGCGAAGCACGGTTTCCCAAAGTCTTCAAAATCACCAAAGTCTTCAAAAACCTCAAAAAAGGCTACCACACCATGTGCTATGAGTTGCTCCTCGAAGTCACCCTGGGTATTAACGGTTTTAAGAAAAAGGAAACAAACTTGCAAGACGTTTTCGTTTTTCGTCTTGCGAAGCAAGCCCATAGGGAAATTCGTCTTGCGAAGCAACTCAAAAAACGAAAAACTCTTTCGTCTTGCGAGTTTTTCGTCTTGCGAGGTACCACTGTATATCCTTTTCAAGCACCTGTGTTCGAAAATAATAAAGGTCTCTTAAAAAAAATGTAATGGAAGGGTTTTCACTTTTGCAGACGAGTCAGCAGGGCTGATATTGATCCAGCTTTTTAGGGAGCCCCAGTGCACCAGAAGGTGATACAGTAGAGGGCCTTGCAAGTCCTGGGAGCCTTCTGTCTAATTTGGCAGAAAAACACAATGTAGGGCAACAAAAGAAGGATCCTATACCGTAAGAAATCTCCATGCTCCCCCTTCCTCCTCCTCCCCCCACCATAAAAAGAGGCTTAATTTTTTCAGCTGCACACAATGATTTGATGCTCACTCTTGCATTGAAACAGTTGCTGTCGGAACAGGCAGGAAACAGTTTTCTTTTAATTGCTGAAATCATTCGGAAGTGCTTCGTGCGCTGCTTCTGTGCAGCAGATGCTGTGCATTAATTGGCCTGTGTAGGACTGACCCAGGGTTCCTTGCAGCGGGCCCAATGTTAGGCACGGGGTTTAAATAGCTTATTTATTATTTTGGATAAGCTGGCAAACATGGTATGTTCTTGCACGTGCTGTATTTCATGGTCTGCCGTTCCAATGTCATGTGGGTTTCCAGCCCTGGTAATGTATTAGCAGCAGGTAAGCTCTAAATAACATCCATCAGGAGCTAATTTTTTATTTTTTTTTACCCAGATACGCCAATGACTGATGAACCTGTCTTTTGTATGAATGTTTAGCACAGTAGAAAGCCATATGCCACTGGCACAGTTTCCTGTGCATTCTTTATAGCGGCTAGAGAGTAGTAGGGGGAAAATTTCTCTTGCATTTGCATCCTGTCATTTATGAACAGTTTGCACTTTCTAAAATAGCTCCAGGTTTTGTGTGTGTATGTGTGTGTCTTGGAAGGAACAAAATGTAGGGTTTAGGGTTTCTTAAAGGCAATCTGACTATTGCTCTTGTGTTCTTTATCCAGGGATATTAGAGCTCATCCTTAATAGGGAACCTTGTTTTGTAACTCCCCGTCTGTTCAAAACAGACCTTACCCCATTAGAAGGTCTTCCCTTGTGTGGGAGGACCACAGCTGTTACCGTAAATCTCATCCAGTAACTGTATAACCCCCCATTTTGTGGTTCTGAAGGATGAAATTGAGAAATGGAATACGGTGCACTCATCCTTTACCTCTCCAATTTTAGGCCCTTGCACATCATTTTCATGCTTTTATTCCAAATCAAACGACATTAGCGAGCAACACCACCCTCTGCTAAATGTCTAGCATCAAAGGCCCCTTTTCACAAGGCCGGCATTTTATTTCTTTTCTAAGGAGTGGGTGAATCAATCTCCTTCTCTCAAAATCTTGGCCATTTCTTCAAGGTTGTTGCAGGAAAGAGGCAGCATTTGGAAATGGAGTTTCCACAAAGCAAACAAGGTCCCAACTTAAAAAGAAAGGAGGTGGGGGGGGGAGCAAATGACCTTAAGAGGTTTCTGTTTCTTTAAATCTTTGTGAAAGAAGTGGTTCTAACTTCTTATGGTGGGATATTGAGGCTTTAACAGAAATAAGAAGTGGTTGAAATCATTAGCACAACAAAGCAAACTATAAGCTTGAAGATAAAAGTCCCTGGGGGAAAAGTCCTCTGAAAATAAATGGGACTTGATAGATTTCCATATCATTTATAACTTCCCTTAATTACACTTGGAAGACTTGCCAGTAAAACTGGAAAATTGGCAGCCTATATCCATTATAGTAATTTTGCCGACCATGGCAAGCAGCTGGCTTTACTGGATTTTATTTCCCATCACTCACAATTAATCATCAGCTGGAGATGTCTGAAACTCTTCAGAAGGTAGCAATACTGTGTGACATTTGGGCCTCCTTAAAATGCTAAAATCTGCTGAGTAAATGGGCAGAGCTTTCTTTTCCTTCAAGTAAACTCATTTTGGTGCAAGGCAGGCTGCTTGCTTAATGGCTGCCACTTTGATAATCGGATGCGAATGTGAACCTTGACCCGGTGTCAAAGGAGAGGACGCAGCAAGCTGGGTGAAAGATATGAGACTCAGATCTGCAAACTTTACACCAATTAGACAGAGTGGAGAAATACATCAGTGCCGATTGGGTTTATCAGAAAGACTTGCAGGGCTTGTGACTGTTTTGTAAGCCTAACATTGAAGACATCCTGTCACAATCATTAAGTCTTTATCAGTTGATTCACAAAAGTCTTAAGGGAGTGGACTGGACCCACAAAGATCTCTTCTTAGGCCCTGCCCTCAGATTGGAGCTCTCTTCATTGTACCTCTGAATATAAACAGGCAAACAATTAATATTCCTGTTACTCTCTTGTGCATAGTGAAATTAGATTTAAAAGTTCCTCCAAGGAGCCCTGACATGACATTCATTAGTACGTTGCCTATAACTTTCGAGACTGTACAAGTTCTGTTTGTTATCTAAACAGATTGTTACCACCAATTCCAATTTTTGTTCTCTAATTCCTATTTTTATTTAAACAGGTAGATAAACAGTTGAAATAATTTTCAAATGCAAATCTTGAGAATTTTGATGCAGGAAGCTATTGTGTACTTGGTGTGTTACACTTTGTTTTTGGAATGAAATGCAGTTTCGTTCCTAGTCAATGAACAATGAAATTAAATATTATTTATTTTCGTATTAATTTTAATCCCAGCAGTTTCAATTTTCTTTCTTCTGAAAAGCCGTTTTAATGAACCTCTGCATTTTGTTTTGTGTTTTTAGAGAATTTAAGGATGAAATCGATTACAGTGGCCTCAGATGAGTAAGAATTCTGTGGATTTTATTTGATTTTCCCATGCCCCCATTTGAGGTCACCACTGAAGCCATGATTAAAAGTATAAAGAGAATTTAAAATAGTAACTATTTTTGATTACTGCAAACTGTTCTGTACAGTGTGATTTTTCTGCTTTTTTCCAGGTCAGTATCTTTAGAAGTGTAGAAAAGTTATTGAAATTTTTGTTTAAAGCCTAACTTAATCCTTAAATGAGGAAAGAGGATATTTTAGAGATCTCGAAGATATTCATTTTCCGGCTTAAATAATACAGGCAGGCAAAAAGATACACACAATTATGCAGTGAAAGAAACCAAACAAAGCCCAAGAGAATGAATGAAAGAGGAAAGGGAGATATATTGGCGACTAATTTTAGGATTTGCTGTTTTGCAACACAGTGGGGGAGGAGACATTAAAGATTGACATAAAGAACAATTATTAATGTGGGTGCTTAAGTGACACTTTCTCCTAAAGCCGTTTTAAATAAATTGGCTATTATTAGACATAATGCCACAGTATTTAAACATTGAGTATCTATGGAAATAAAAGTTTTCACCAAGACAGAGAACTAGCATAAGTTAGTTTTTTTTGTAAGGGTTTGTTGGGTAAGTTTTCACTAAATAATACTATTCCCAGTTACCTTTGGGGAGTACGTGTTTGGATAGAGAAGCGGTACATAGGGAACGAAGTTAGAGGTTCATAGAAGGAATCCATCAGACAACCCTC